TCAATTAGGCAAAAAGATAAAAGTTTCTCCAATCTAAAAAAATGGGAGAGCACTTAAGTATCTATTTTATGATTAACTTAGTGATTTTGAAACCGTATCACAATTGATCCTCTAAGGACACCTTAGTACACTAGTATGGCTAAAAAGAGGAATCGGCAATTGTTGAAATGGTTAAATCAAAAGGTGTATCATACTTCGTTCCAAAATCAAGTCTTAGAGTCGTACTCCAAAATTGTGATTTAAGTGACATCATCTTAAGAAATTTTAACACACTCATCAAATGTGAAGTAGGAAAATGTTTTCTTGCTCTTGCACGTTTGAAATTGGTAAGTTGTGATGTCTTGGATAAGACAAAGACCAACTAATACCAATTGTGTGTAGTATTTACCTTGATAAGGACCTACTCTAACTCTTGAATATTTGTTTTGTCAAGAAATGTTTCTTGACAAGAGAATCTTATATGTCAAGAGGTCAGTGGGAGTCTAAATGATCTTGAAAAGTTTCAAGAACTAATCAAGGATAAACCTATTGTTAAACACTAGCACACGACTTGAGGTTTGTAACCTATCGTGTTGACACAATTTTTGTTTTTGTGCCATTCCAGTTTAAGTCAACTATGCATATGAGTTCTATGAGTTCTCAATTGATTGCATAGAGGCAAGGCATCCTGATCAATGGAAAGTACATTGATAGGTAGGTTGAGCTGCTCGAAGACTTGGAAGCAATGGTGGGACCCTTGATGGAAAGAAATAAAGAATGACCAAGTTCTGTCCATAAGAGTTTGGATTTGTTAGGATTTCTGGAGGAAACCCTAATTCCTGCTTAGGGCTTAAGCAGCCAATGGACCTCCCACTAAGAAGCCTTGGACGAAATCTATAGGGCCTCCCTATATGATTTCCTCCACTCCCAATCAAGGAGTCCATCAGCCCAATTTCACAACTATCAACGATTTGCAAAACAGCTCCTGTTATTTTAATCGGTTCCTTTAATCCCGAAATTAAAGTCTGATTAAATACTAATTAAATAACATGATTTCCAATTAATATATTATTCTCATAATACATTAATAAATAATTTATCAGCCTCTCTCTCCAAAATCATCCTATCAAGTTGCTAGGGTGAATGCAACCCAAAAGGACCATGCTACTATCAAATCAAGTACATACCAAATATACTTATGGGCTTAAACACCTAATCCAACAAATACCTCATAAAGCTTCCTCATAAGATGATGATTCTGGATCCAAAGCCTTTTCCCCAAACAAAGCAACTTCAATATCTCCTCTTCCTTCACAAGGACCAACAATAAGCACCAAGAACCTCTTACTAGCTCAAGAACACCACCAAGAGACTAAAGGATCGATTTTAGGGTTTTAGTGTCAATGGAGGCTGGTATGGAGACCAACCCTTGGGGCTTAAAGAGATTATATATAGTGCAACATCCTAAAATTAGGGTTTCCTTCCCAGCTTCCAACACGCCGTGTTTAGACACCAACACGTTGTGTTGACCTTAATGAGAACTGCGCTTTTCCTTAACTAGACACGTCGTATCCAGTCCTCAAAATGGGATTCATTCCTTACAATTGCTCCTCAATATTCCAGGTGTTACACAAAACCCCCTCAGTAAACTAGAAACACCACATAGCAAAAAAAAAAAAAAAAAAAAAAAACAGTTGTAGCCAACAAAACAACAACAGGTAACAGAGAAACAAAATTCAAATTCAGCAAAAAACCTCTAGGGTGAACAAGGAATTACAAATGCAACAATATACTTCTGAAGGACCACCAAGAATAACAATGAACTTAAACAACAACCAACAAGTCAAACTATGAAACCCCCTCAAACTGATTTGACAATATTACCCTTATGTAATTTAATTTCTGTCCAAGATCTATTACCTCGCAAAATATATTTAATCCGTTAAATGAGAAGCTCATTATCTCAATTCCTGTTTTGCCGAAATGATCTCATAAAATCAATATATATCTCCTTCTTGATAAAGGTGGTCGTTGATAATCAGTATTTATTAAAATATAGTAAGGTGTGTATGGCTACCTCATCACCATGTTCATATCACATAGTTTGATATACTCGAATTAATATAATTTTATATATCTTTGATTTTTCATTACCATTTTTAATTATCAATATTATTATTTTTTTATCCGTGATTTCCACGGGTTGTAACCTAGTAAGAGAATAAAGACGACAACACATAGATGAGATAGATCAAATTCAAACCCTAATTAAACAAGAGAAGACAAATAAGAGAACAAAGACTCACAACATAGATGATGTTTTTTTTGATAATATTGTTTCTTAATCGTTTTTATGGTGTAATGCTAGGGCTAGAAAAGTTATCAACTGGGTTGGGTGGCTTCAAAACCCAAAACTAGCTATTATGTGAGTTTTTGTTTTGTTGCTTAGTTACTTGCTAGCTTTTTTATAATATCTGTCGTTCGAAAAAAAAAGACGACAACACAAAGACGAGATAATACATGAGGATCATCGATGGGAGGTGGAAGGGTAACCGACGTGAATTGCAGAGTAAGGATGAGCAGTTAATACCAAATCTCGATCTCATGTTGGTATCGTACCGGAACCGGTACCGAATTTAAACATATGAGACGGTACCATTCCCGTTATCAGTACTATTAGTAATGTTAATTCGGTTCGGTATTCGGGATTGACTTTCGATCAAATTTGATTTTTGGGAAATTACCCACACTCATCCCTATTACAAAAGAGGTGTTTGTTATGAATTGCAAGCAAGGAGCGCCGAGTGCGCAATCCAGATGGTAGGGACTAGGAAGGTATAAATACGAGAGGCATGAAAAAGAAATAGGGCAAAAAGGTATCAAAAGTCGTCTTATTTTAGAGAAAAAACAAAAAAATACCTAAATGAAACTCTCATTGGAGATAATGCAAAGACAAAACTGCAAAAATGGTCCCTGTGGTATGCATTTTTTGGGGGTTTTAGTCCAAACCACGACTTTTTTGGCTTCATGGTCCTTTTGGACTAGTTTGTATGTAAAAATAGTCCCTCCGAAAATTGAAATGACTATAATACCCTTGGGGTATTTATTTTTCATTTTTCTTTCATTTTTTTAATTTAATATTTATTTATTTATTTTAACAATTAAAAAATAATAAAAAACCCACCCCCTCTCTCTCTATCTCTCTCTCTCTCTCTCTCTCTCTCTCTCCTAACTGATCGTTTTCTTCCTCAAGTAAACCCACACAATTTCACACATAGATACACATTGTAATTACACATATATACACACACTAAATGATATGCTTCGATTTGGAATTGAAAAACGATTTCCTCTTCTTGGTTCTTGTGCTCTTCTATCTTCAACCTCCATTTCAAGAACAAACCCAGATTTGGTCTTCATCGTGTTCATCAAAAATCAGGTCCGATCTTCATCTTGTAGAGTCATTCTTGTTGCAGAACCTCATCAGTGCTCCAATCTCGTCCTCTCCAGCTCCAATTTTTTATCCAAAGATGGTGGCAAGCACAGTTTTTTCCGATTAAGAAAGGAAGGGCAGTGACCGGAGGAAGGAGTGATTTCTGATTCACACACAGATATACCTTCTTGAAACAATTTCAGATGCATACACACACATATCTCCTAATTCCTGCTTACCGAAAAGAATTTTCCCAAACCAGAAATCGATTCAGACGTGTCTTTGCCGGAGGTAGGTGTAGGAGGCGTTGTTGCTAGTGATCAAGTGCAGACTGGAAATGAACAGATCGAAACACAGTTGAATCACCACCATCAATGTCGGCACATATGTTGAACTAGATCACGATGTGGGTATTGCAAAAAATTATGAGATTTAAATGAATCAGGTTAGAGCAAGTAGGTCTCCTGTTTTCATCAATGGAGTTTTTGAAGGTTTCAAAATCGAAGGTAAATAATGAAACCATGGCTACTTCTTCATCGATCTTGAAATGGTTAGAACAACATGGTAGAGAGGATGGTATGATAAGAAAATTAAAGCTAATTTCTTGATATGGGTTTTGTTGGTTTTTGACATGGGGAAGATGACACTTACTGTTTCGATTGAACACGCAAATCATTCATCGATTTTAGCTTAAATTGAAGAACATTGTTTGATTGTGTTTGTGTGTGTTTTCCCCTGCGAAGTGCATGCATTAAAGTTCTTTCGATGAAATTGCCAGTTTTAGAACAAATGAAGGATTGGTGGAGTTGAAGAAATTAATCTGGGTTTTTTCTTCAAATCCTAAATGGTATTCAGGAGAGAGAGAGAAGACGGAGAAGAAGAGAGGTAGAGAGAGAAGAGATAGCGAGGAGACAAGAGAGAGAGAGAGGAGAGGAGATGAGAGAGTAGATTAGAGAGAGAGAGAGAGAGAGAGAGAGAGAGAGAGAGAGAGAGAGAGAGAGAGAGAGAGAGAGAGAGAGAGATAATAATTATTTATTTTCTTTTTCATTTAAATTAAATAGAAAAAACATAAAAAAAATATATCAGAAGGGCATTACAGTAATTTCAATTTTACGAGGGACCAAATTTACATACAAACATGACCAAAAGGACCACGAAGCCAAAAAAGTTGCGGTTTGGACTAAAACCCTAAAAAATTGCATACCACAGGGACATTTTTGCAATTTTGTCTAATGCAAAACTAATATGGTATATTTAAAAGACTGAAAGACAAGTGTCATCAAGTTGATTGGAGATATTGCAAAACTAATATGGTATATTTTAAAGACAAGAGTCATCAAGTTGATTGGAGATATTGCAAAACTAATATGATATACTGAAAAGGCAAGTGTCATTAAGTTGCTATGAATGACCTTACATATAAAATAAAAAAAAATAATAAAATATAAGATTCAAGACAACCCCCGCAATCCATATGAGCCGTACCATCGTAACATGTTACTTAATGCATCTAGCCTATTCATTTGCAATTCACACATAGCCATGCAATTAATGGAATTTCTATAAATTATGCATTATAAGTTGTACATTACCTTAGATTCAAAAGAAATATAATAGAAAAAAAAATACAATCTATATGACTTTACAAGTATACACGTTTCCAATTACCTCTACAAATGCATAAATAAAATAAAGAAAAAGCCAAAGCCATTGGTCAACCATCAAGAAGAAATCCCAATGACCGAGATCCCTTCCTCCTGTTCCTCCCGGATTCCTTCAACAACTCCGCCAGCCACCGCTTCTCATTGTCAACCTCCGGATCCGCCGTCCCAAGCTTCTCCTCTCTCATCCCAACAACATATTCCAATATATCAATTGCATCATCCCACCTATGTATAATATTGTTATAAACTTATAATAGTAATACAAAATGTTTCAAAATAATATTTTTAACGTTTAATAAAAAAAAAAAACTAAAATACCTTCCAATTGCATCATAAGTCCCAGCAAGATTACTATAAACCCCAAGCGTAACAATATGCTGAGGTCCATACTCCCTCTCCAAAATCCCTCTCGCTTCTTCAAAATATTCAGCCGCTTCTTCAAACGACTGAATCTGTACGGACGCAAGTCCCATTTGATTCAACACAAAACCAAAAAGACCTGATTTCTTCTCCCCCGCATTTCGATACTTCTGAATCGCAATCTTGAAATAATGATACGACTCCTCATAACTCCCCATCATATAACACAAAACTCCAATCTGTGCTTCGACCCCAGCCACAATACTCAGCTGACCCGGACCTGACCCGTATACTTTCAATGCTTTTTTGAGTAACTCCAAAGCCCGGTCAAGCTCGTTCATTGACTCGTAAATCCCCGATACTTCAATAAGCCCGTTCGCGATTTCTTCATTTCGATTCTTTTTCTTAATCGGTTTATAAATACGTAAAGCGTGTTCACAGTACGTTTTCGACTCCCGGAATTTCCCGATTTTGTTGTAGAGATCCGCCAACCGGACGTAAACCGAACCAACCGAAGGGTTTTTCTCGCCTTTTGTCAGCTTAAAAGCATTTAACGCTGTCTGATAGGAAAATATCGCGTCGTCGTAACGCGCTAACGATAGATACGCGTCACCGATGCAGACATCGATGGTTGCCACATCGACGTCGTGTCCGTCTACTGACATGGACATACGGGCCAGAACGTAATGTTCGAGGGCGGTTTCGTAATCGCCCTTTGAATCACAGATCAGACCCATCAGCCTGCGGTCGGCGGCTTCTTGTAAAGAAGCTGCCGTCCCGTTTCTTCCATGTATTTGTAAAGCCATTTCACATAACCTTTTGGCTTCGTCGAATTGTAAAGCTTGGATATGGGCTTCTGCCACGTACCTACATGTTTCCCCAAATCTGGCATCGTGTCCCCCCAAAACGTGTTTTTGAATCTCTAAACCTGCTGTGTAACAGAGAATCGAGGTGTCCATTTTTCCTTGCATCGCGTATGTATCTCCTAATTGCATACACCCTGCGAATTTTGCTAATGAATGTTTTTGGCCTTCGTTCATGTTTGTCATCTCGATTGATCGTTCGACAATCGGAATCGCTTCATCGAATTCCCCTAAAATAGAGTATAACGCTGCGACGATGTGTAAACACATGACGAGTTCTAGATCTGGTTTTTCCGATTGGATGCTTTCAAACGTTTTCATCGCACGTACAGCGAAATCGAGCGCCTTTCTTGGATCATCACCGGACGACATTGATTCACGAGCTTGTTTCAGTAAATAAGGCCCGAGGTATTTCGGTTCTTCGTTTTTCTTCATACTCGATTTCAACCCTAGTTTCTTACTAGAAGTATTAGATTTTGTTTTCGAAATCGGTTTCGGAATTTTCGCCGGAGATGAAGGTTTAACAACCGGAGATTGATTCGATTGATTCGGCTGATTCGTTTTCTTGTTGTCATCATCTGTTACAACGGATTCCGATTGTTCTTTCTCCTCAGTTTTTACTCCGACGTTTGAAAAATCACCTCGAGCAAGGAACCGTAGTTCGGAATCAATTCGTGATTCCTGACTGTAAGATATGTAACTTGAAGAAGATTGATCGGAGCTTTCCATTTCGCATATGTTGTTATAGAGTTGATCCATAGAGTTTCCGGCGATTTCAATGCTTAAATCGATTGAATCAGTGTCGGGAGTGTGTGTGCTTAACGGGCTTCTTGGTGAGATACGCGCGAACTGTTCTTTGTGTGGTACGTAGTGTGCGTTTTCATTGGTCGAACTTGGGTCTGGTTTCTTCATTGCAAGTTTCTTCGGCATTTTCGTTTCTTGAACCTATAAAAGCAAGAAAAAAACAGAAAACTAAACTTAGAATGTAATCATGTTGATTAGAATATTTTCGGAAAAGTGTTTTAAATTGATTTCTACATTTTGAAGAATAAGAATCAGATAATCATCATATGACTAATGTATATTTTATCTCGATGTTCAATCGTGCATGTGTGGTTTAAAAGTGATATGTGATAGTTGCCAAATCATATGTTGCAACAAAAATTATATCACAGAATTTAAAGAGGAAAAAACCCAACATATCACATCATTTGAAGAAATCAAAACCAAAATATGATAAAAGGTAAATAACAAAATTTATTGCTTTATATAATAAAAATATAAAACAGAAAATTTATGAACAATCGCTAATCAACAAACCAAACTCAAGAGCATTCACCAATCAAAAGCCCAGAAATATTAACGCCTAATTTGTCAAAATGCAAGACCGGTTACCACTCATCCCAAAATTTCCAAAACAAGGTTCAACGGCTGATAATATATTGAAAAATCAAGCACGTTGGTCAATGAACGACATCAAAATTCAAAAACTCGGAAATTATTAACACTTAATTCATCAAAATGTAAGAGCAGTAACCATTCCCAATTAACAAAAAAAAAACAGAGGATGAAACGCATGAAGAAAACAAAAGTTAGATTCAAATTCATAACATAACAGAATACAAGGGAAAAATCAATTGGTGACATACCGTAATAATTCAAGTAAATGAAGAATCTAATCTCTTGTGTAGGTAAGTTTCCTGGGGACAAACCAATGAAAACGGAAGAATAATGGCGGGATTTGTGAAGAACCAGAATCCTTGTTGTTGATGTTGTGAATAAATTTAGGACGAGAGATGAGAATATATTTGAAATTGAAGAAGAAGAAGAAGAAGATGGTGATTACATAAATGGTGGTTGAAGAAGGAATGCATAAATTAAATAAAGTTTTGAATAAGGTTGATGTATGTATGAATTAAAACCGAAGATATGAACAGATTGAACAGATACGAGTCAATGTCAAAGAAAATGGGGCAGGAGAGAGAGAGAGAAAGAGAGAGTGGGCGGTGGAATGTTAGAAGCCAGAAGAAGGGCGCTTGTTTATCTCCCCCTCGGCAACCGCAGCTTTAGGCCGTTTTATTTTATTTAAGAGTAAATCACACTAAGTTACAAAAATAGTCCCTTTAGTTTGTCAGAACCATATGTTTAGTCCAATCTTTGAAAAGTTGATAGAAAACATCCTGTAGTTTTGATAAATTACATTGTTGGTCCCTGTGTGAAACGTTATACACCCTAAGTCTGTTACATTACATCGTGTGCCCCTCACAAGAAGGGAATTTCATTTTTTTCCCTTTCTTTCTTTTCTACCAATGACTTTAAAAGACTCTGGCTTGTATTTATTTTGATAATATTTCTTCCCTAAACATACCTACATTAGGTAAAACTCCTCCTTTTGATCGATTTCTTCCTTAACTAATAAAATGGTATTTTGTAAATGTAGAAAATCAACAATCATAGTCACTTACAGCATGCGAGGAGCATTGATCTGAAGGACGATATTAGTTTTAGTGATTAGATAGTTGTTTAGAAACTTGTAATAAATAAAATGTAATTGACATTTGATGATTAAATAAAGAAGTTTTATTGTAACGACCCAAAATTTTCAAATAATTTTTTTTCGTTTTTAACTAGCCAAACAATCCCATAAAATGTGAAGTAACATTAACCATTGTTTTCAAAATTCATGACATTAACATTTTATTCAAAACATTAGAGTGTCCCATCAAAACAAATGCCGGAGAGTGCACACCGCTCCATCAAGCCTTGCCCTTGCCCTTAGGTTCAGATGTACCTGAAACAAATCAACAAACTGTAAGCTAATGCTTAGTGAGTTCCCCAGAGCATACCCCGCACACAATCCACATAAACACATATCATATTAGCTATAAAAGCTACATATACCACATAAGCCATGCATACAAACATATAAGGATGTCATGGGCTCCTCCCAAGGTCTTACTCCAGGATGTCATGGGCTCCCCTACAAGGTCCTACACCTAAGTGGCATGGGCTCCTCTCATGGTCTTTAGCTGGAAAGCCATGGGCTCCCCCACATGGTCTTACATCCAAGCGCCATGGGCTCCTCCCATGGTCTTTACTTGAAAAGCCATGGGTTCCCCCACATGGTCTTACATCCAAGTGTCATGAACTCCTCCCATGGTCTTCCCTGCAAGTATCACATATGTAGCTAGCATAACACTAAGCATAACTAACTATCATACCACATATCTCTACAACAACGAGTGTACCACATATCACAAAATGGGTCGGCCTTGGTGCCTTAGACCTATTGGTATAGTGAGGAGACTCACCTCTGTCTGCTGAATCCAAAAGTTGCTCTCTTAACAGTCTGTGATCTCCCGTGCTGAACAATAATACCATTAACCCAAGTTAAGGTCGGACATAATCTAAATTAAAGGACCCAAACCCCAATTCCTTTCACAATGGCCCAAAAAGTCTTCCTTTGCTAATGGGCCCAAAATCCATGTCCAAAATCATTAATGGGCCTCATGGCCTAATAAAGCTCAACCATAGTATCCATGGCCCAAAACAGATAAGCTGGCCCACTAACTCAAAAATGTGACAAGGCCCAATGACTAATTAAGGCCCAAAAGCTTACAAGCCCAAACAAGTCTGAGTCCATCTGATGTGCGTACGCCTTGCGTACCACCCTGGTACGCGCAACGTACTGAGTCCCTGAGCCGTACGCGCTGCGTACTCTAAGTTACGCCCATCGTACAAACAGATTAAGCACATTTTACATTAAGTGCTTAATACTCGATGTTCTAACGTCCAAACTTTAGATCTGATTTCATTAAGACGTCCTAAGGCATAAAGTTGGCAACTTTATGCCTTTGCATGTCCCATATGTTCCCAACAACCCATTAAGACCTTTCCAAGAGTCTTATTCCATGCATGAGGTCAAAAGACTCATCAAGACTCTATTTTTATGCTATGAATGGACCAAAGGACTTTAGATCTATCCTCCCTAAGCTCTGGAGTTGCTCAAACTCTTAAGAGGTGGTTCAAGAACACAAAAAGGGACTAAGGAGAAAACCCTAGCTCTAGAAATGGAAGTGATAACCAAGGTGAAAGCTTTTTATCTCCTTAAGCTTCCTAGACTGCTCAAAATGTAAGATCCAGAAGCTTCTCTTTGTTTAAGCTTGTTTCCTCTTCTTCTTTGTAGCTAACACACAAGAAGGATGGTGTTTAAACACTCAAAAGCTCAAGAACACACTCTCTAATGATTTTAGGGTTTTCAGGGACGTTTGAAGGTGAAGGAGGCTGGTTAGGGTGAAGCTCAAATGAGATAAGGATGCTTATATAGGTCTCAAGTCCGGAAATTAGGGTTTGAACATCCGTCACGTACGCCCATCGTACCTTTTGGTACGCCCATCGTACCTTTTGGTACGCCCAGCGTACGTGCTGCCCCTCCGCGATCATCCATGCATGGTACGCTAAGCGTACCCATGAAGTACGCCCAACGTACTTAAGGGACTTATTATACAATATTTAAAATTTCAAGGGCTTCAAAGGTAATACCTGATTTGGAGTGTTACATTTATTTATGAGTAAAGTTTACTATCTTGTGTCAATTGTTTACTATTGTTTCACTTTTGCATGTTTTACTTCCAGAATAATTAGATTGTTCAAATTATTCACAGTCAATCATACTTTGAGAGTAAGTTATGAGGTTAGACTGTCATGAATTGGTTTGTAGATTGTCTAAGTGTTTAGACATAGCAAAAGTTTGCTGCAACGTTCATGAATGCTCTTGAAATAAGATTTGAGTATTGGATTAAACCCACGCTCATTTGAATCACTTCATGGAATTTATCACGAGTGATTGTGAGACGATAATATCGTATAAACTTTAAAACGAGATATATGAGTTGTTGTTTACAAGTTGGTTGTGCATTGATAATGCGTAAACACATCAGTAACTTGATGTTATAAAACGTGTTGTTGTGTGCGATTTAATGAGTAAATGGTACAAGCATATAAGTCAAAGTTTATCTGTTCCTTTTATCCTAAGAGGGTAAAAGCGATATCTTGGGCCCCTCGATGATTTTGTGTTGACTTATGTGTCGGGCCCGGTCAGGACTGAATTGATGTGTTCAATTAAGTTCTATGTCAAACAAATCAGAAGTCGGGAAACAAACTGCTCGACATTGAGAATGATTATGTTCAATGTCATTGTCCAAGAGATATCTTGCAGAATGGAGGGTTATATGATCCCTTATCTAAAGGATGCGTCATTGACTAGGTCAGAGTTCGACAACGGCTTTTGAGAGCTACGATTGATAATCGCATTTTGAAGTCGCACTTGCATTTATAGTTATTAGACTTATCCAATTGAGAGACTGTTGGATTAGGTGTCTAAGCCCATAACTATAATTGGTATGTACTTGACCTGATAGTAGCATGGTTTCTTTTGGGTTGCATTCACCATAGCAATTTGATAGGATAAATTATGGAGAAAGAGGTTAATTGTGATTTATTAATATATTATAAAATAATATATTAGTTGAGAAATCATATTATTTAATTAGTATTGATCAGAAATATATTTGGTGATCAAAAGAGACTGATTAAATTACGGGGACTGATATTGAAATTATATGATAGTTGCAAGTTGGGCTTATGGATCCCTAGTGTCGCACCCCCAAACCAGAATGGCGGAAACATTCGGGGGCGGAGGACTTTAGGTAAGTATCACAACACATGCAATATAGTAATCAAAGTACAAACAACCATTGCATTAATAAGTATAAGTTTTACATAAATGTTTAAACATTACATATTCAAACACTAAAGTAGGTACAATAGAAGACAAGAGTCGCGGTACGGTACTAGGTAGTCTTCTCAAAAGCTTCAGGAGTGTACCTGTCTACTAGATTCCTGAGAATACAAGTTATTTGGAAAGAGTAGATCAACATTTAAGCTGGTGAGTTCATAAGTATTTTAGTTTTGTTAAGTATACCCTAAGTTCTTTGAATAAGTTCATTGGTTTCTCCAGGAAATCCTATATCTCCTGAGGTGCTAGATTGATAACCTCAATAGTTTCCCTCTGTAATTACTTAGTTTATACTGATTATACCTAACACAATATCGAATGGATTGTCAATTGGGTGCATCTGCCCTAAGCCCACAACCAAACAAGGAACATGAAGTAAGGCGGAAGTCACACATTTCACTATCAATCGGATATTACTTATATATAACTATGATGTAATAACTAAGGAATTATAGAATTAACCACTAAAGGTCTTTTATGTTATACTAGTTTACAGAGATTGAGTGACTAAGTTCCATCGGATAAGTGGTTTAATCCATAAACCGTTCTCTTTGTATTACTGTTTTGTATTTGTATTCCTTTATGAAAACTTGAAAATGAGAGTGTGCTTGGCTCCACCAGGTGTTAATGAAAACTGTATTAAACCATTGTATTTTGTATTCTATAAACTGGTACTTTGAAGGTGTACTTTCGTTTATTTGTTTATACACTAACGTATTGTTAATATCTTTTTAATGAGTAGTTATTATAACCATACTATGACGGATGGCCTGAAACAAACGCTTTGTGGGCGTTTAAACTGGTGATAACAATTGTCACTCATCGGCGTGTATGCCGGACTGTAGCTAGCAGCCTGAGTGCGGGGTTGTCAATCCCGATATAGATCTACACACACTTGTTTCGATCCCCGGCTGGAGATTCTGGTTATAATGTCAGGACTTTTCCTATGTTGTCTAAAATGAATTAAACAACCTGAATATAGAGTCTCATAAAAAGCATATTAAACGTTATATGTATATTAGTTTTGAAAACCCAATCATTCTGAAATAATGATTGACAGTATATTCTTAGTTTTCCAAACATGTATTTGACAAGTGTAAACCCTTGATTTTTTTGAATCAAAACCCTGGTTTCTTGTAAAACTGTGTATTTTAGTATACTTGAATCATGAGTTATTACCTCGTGTTTGCTAACTCGGGTACTCTGTATAGTACCTTTGCTAATGCAAACCCGGCAGAATGTATTATTACCTCGTGTTTGCTAACTCGGGTACTCT